TATATATATGTAGAGCTAATGATCCTTTAAAGAAAAATTACAAGATATAAAAACAACATTGTAGTTGTGAATTCAAATTAAAGTTCCAGTCTATTTTTATAGAACAAATCATATAATTTTGAGGACCAATGTCTGCTTACTTAAATGTGTGTACAGGACATTATAAAATTTACCTGACATCAAATGAAATGTGTATACTGATTAAGGATTATGGTGCCAATTAAGTAACGATTAGTGGTTAACTGAATCACTGTCTTATAGAAAGAGCAATAGTATTAAAGGGACAATAAATGAATTGACACAGCTGAGTCTCTACCTTTCCTGAACACAAAGTCATGACCAAAATAAAAATTAGATTTCCTCTGGCTCACCAAGGACTCACTATTTCATTGCATCTTAATACTACAAAAAAAAAAAAAAGAGTGCTTTTGATTATTTATTCCAAGTACGAGATAGAATACATTCAGTTCAGTCCTTAGCAGTAACAGAGATGACTTGTAGTTCACATCCTACAGAAACTTCAAGGCTGTTTCAAGGATCCTAACAAAATGAAGCGTGGGTGGAATGTGGGGTGGATTCTTAGATGCACAAAGGAAAGCAGTACATGTGTTTGAAAATACTGAACTTTTTCTGTGAGAAGACAAGTAATTCTTGGTGAAAACTTTCCTTTGCCTTGGTCAAACCCACAGCTCCTGGTTGTGAGGGATGCACCTGAACACTGCTCTTTGGAGAACAGATGTTGCATATTTTGGGTCTGATAAACCTTGGCTGCCACTTGTTATGTAATGTCAGTTGATAAGCTTGTTTGATACCATCCACTTTCCCTAGGAGACTCCTTCAAAAGGATGCTTTGAGATGTAAATGCTCATTTGTTCCCTTGGACATGAAAATATACTCACCAGCAGGAGGAGAGGATATGAGGGTGGGAAATGCATGTGAAAAGAGCCAGCTCTCCTTCTCACTTCTAACGACTTTCTGTTTTTAAGGGTGCGAGAGTTTAGTATCCAAATTTAGGCACAAAAGAAGCCAATTAGCTTCATCTCGGTGGCATTTTGCATCCTTCATAAAGGAAATGCACCTTTCTTAAATCAAGGAACTGACAAGACCAAGGGACAGAGATGTAAAGGAATATGAGGTGGTTCTCAGTTTTACTTCTGACTCACCCACTTGTCCACACACCAAATGAGTGGGATAATACCCCATGCTGTAGATCTAAGTGTTACTTAAAGAACACCTAAATTATAGGGCTACTGTTTGAAGTAAGGCACTCCATAAATAGTAGCTCAAGTATATTCAGAAGACCTCATATTCAATTTTCCTTGGAGTTGGGGAGACCTAATTGGTAAGCAGATTTCACACAGGGTTTAGTGAAAAGGTCAATGAATAACCACTTGGTCTTATTTGGATGCCTTAACTTTTAAGTCCAAATTCACTCCCCTCCCTCTTCCTAAATGGGTTCGATTTTTGAGAAATAATATGTAGCTCGGGCTGTCCTTGAGCACAATGTGGAGGTGGGAAAACTTTGAACTCCTGATACCCTCGTCTCAGTCTCACAAGTGCTGGGAGTACACATACCTACACATTTTACTAATGATTTCACATATAAAACCTTTGTTCCATCGAAAACCTTTCTCATGCAATTATACTAAAACAAACTAGTCAGAATAGAAAGAGTTAATCTGGACATGTGTGCACAAATGGCTAGTTAGAAAAAAAAATAGTTATATTCTTCATATTAAGGTTCTCGGAACTCAGTAAATGCTTTTTTAATGCAAGTATTACATTCTTTTCCCCCATTAACTATTTTTGAAATAATCAAAATGTCTTGAGACATTGTGGGTTAGCTACAGTGAACGAGAGAGAAAGCACAAGGAAATACCATTCTTTTGTGAATATTTTGAATACATCAGTATTTTAGTATTTATTCCTCCACTGGTCTGAAAGGTATCTCTTGAAAAATCAAATTCAATAATCATGGAGGAAGCAATGCATGTAGTAGTGGCAAAGTGGATAATTTATCACTCTCTGAAAAGATTTTAGCTTAAATCATGCTGAGCCTGTCGGTCAAGGACTGGCTGGAATGGAATTTTTAGGGTAGATGCTGCTTCGCTGCTTCATTAGGAATGTTAGAAACACCTCAGTTATTTAAATATTCAGAAATAAACATTTCCATAACATTGAAATAAAAAAATCCAATTGCAGTAATTCTATCCTTTCAAACAATAGACAAGCTATTGAATTCTCGTTAGAATATTCACAAGAAAAGTTACTCGACAATGCAATTTGCATAAAAATATAGCAATGACATTGATGTTTATAAAAGCATTAAATGATGTCAAAACACAACACAGTTTCTCAATGGCTTCTCTATCTCTAATAAAATGCTTGTGATTCCCAATTATTATTTATAATATGCAGCTTCCTTCTGTAAAGACAGCACTCAAGACAATTAAGAGCATTTCTCTCAGTCATATATGCTGAAGCTTTTCAAACAAGAAAATGAGTCCACTGAGGAAATTATTTAAATAATTCCAAACAAAGCTGATATGGAAAGAATGTTTCAAAGAACTAAAATGAAGTCATTAAGTGTTTTATGTCTGGCCACACGTAGGAGAAACACAGGAAACCCATAGCGGTGAATGTGGCTGCCTTACTTCAAAACATGTTCACATACAACTCAACACTGACTGTTTCAGTTAACCTGTGCACCTGTCTCTGCATTTCCAGAGTCTCACTGCCAACAACCTGCAGCAATGAAGATTTCTCAGTAGAAATTTGTGTCAACAGTTATTTTAGACTACTGAAGCAGTAGTCACAAAAAAAAAAAAAAAGAAAATTTCTCAGGAATCTCATGCTGGAGAACAAAAGACTAAAAACTAGGTACTTGCCACAGGAGAAACTTGTCTCCCCAAAAGAGCTCAAATAATGTGGACAGTCACAGAGAACACCTCACAGGAGAAATTGGAACTGAGACAAGGTAGTGCCGAAGATAGAAAGGGTCACTCTTGACAGGTAATTCTTTTTCAAGCATATTCCGTAAAACTTGTTTAACCAAATCTTTATGCTGGGACTGAAAGATGGATCAGTTGGACAGACACCACTGGCCTTTTTTATTTCTTTATTTTTTTTCCAACCTTGCCAGGGTGAATAGGTCCTGTTTCTCTGCCTTTCACTCTTACATGTGTACTTAATTGATTTATTGAGAAGAAGTGGTGGAGTCCACCTGACTAGAGCAGTTAGGGCCCAAGCTCTAACCATTAAAGACTAGACTATGTTGGGCATGGTAGTGCATGCATCAAAGCACTCGGGAGGCAGAGGCAGGAGGATGTCCATGACTTTGAGGCTGGCCTGGTCTACAAAGTGATCCCAGGATAGCCAGGACTGTTACACAGAGAAAGCCTGTCTTAAAAAAAATAAAATAAAACAAATTAGCAAATAAGTAAAAAAAATAAAAATTATAAACTGTACTAATAACCATCCTCTATTCCTCTAAACGGTTACTGATGTTGAACCAATGGCATGGCATGGAACACATTCTGGTATTCTGATTCTGAAATTTTTAAAATTTAAAGCTATTTCACACATCTCAACTTTTTTGGGAGAGACAATATCTTCCTCTTACTACTATGTGGTTGTTATTATAATGTAGAGTAAGATCTCATTTTTTTCTGGCATTATAACTTTAAAAAGGAATTGAGAAATCTAACTGCTAAAATACTTTCAACTTTATAAACATCAACCACTTTCTAAACTTTAATGAGAATATAAATAAATGTTCCTAACTCCATTTGTCTCATCTTTTCCAAGGTTTTGACCAAAACACATTTTACATACAACTGGATCATCCCGAATGAGAGTTGTAGAGCTGCTCACCTGCCCTGGTCTGGCATTCTCACATACAAATGTGTCATAAAACACAGCAAATTGTGGAGCATTGTCATTCACATCCAAAATCCTCACAAAAACAGACACACGAGTTGTCTCTTTGGGATTATCTAGAAGGAAATGAAAACAGTGTTTAGGGAGACAGAGTTTGTGCAGAATTCAATTGAGATAAACATCTTGTGGACATTGAATGTCACATACAAATAAACATCATATCCACTTTTCTGATACAATGCACAAATGCAATAAAGAAAATTACTATAGAGCCCAGTTAACTAGTCATGAATTCTGTTATAAGTAGGCACAAGAGTACCATTATTTTAAGCATTCCTTTAAAAAGGACAATACAATGTAATTGATTTCATATTATATGTGTGTCCCTAACAACTAATTATGAGATTGTATTATATAATTATTAAATTCTTGCCATACATGGCCATGTCACTTAATTATGAACCACGTTTTTATTTTTAATTTTTTTTAAAATTGAAAATAGATTCTTCTCTCATAAAATATATTCCAACCACAGTTTTCCTTCCCTCTAATGAAGAAACAATTGGAAATAGATTAAGTACTTGGTCAATATCACCAACTCCTAAAACTCACTTTGTTTATTTCTATAATGAAAACATTTTCAAACATACTTTAAAATCGTCATTTGGAAACTGGACTACGTGGATATGACTTGACTTATTTATTAGAAAAAAATATAGTAAAAACATTTTAGATATATTCATCACTGATAACATTAAACAGAACTTTATTATTTTTAATCATTTATTTTATGAGCAGCATGTGTGTCTATATTTGTGTTCACATGAACACCACAAGGTGAGTGGTAGACAGATGACAACTGTGGTAGGAAGGTTTTTCCTTCCACTGTGTGGGATTCAGTAACTGAACTATGGTCATCACGCTTGGCACTAAGTGCCTAACTGAAAAAGGCACCACACTAGCTCCAAGGGCGACTTTGTATATCAGTTTATTCTATCCAAACCAGCTTCCAAACAATAAACAGTGAATTCATTACATCTGCTTTGGTAAAAATGGTGAAATTAAAAGCATCACATTTGTTATGAAGAAAGATAAATTTTATTTATTGCTTTGATTGATGAATGAAATTTTAAAACCTGTCTATTTAGTTTGGCTTTAATATCACTTTTGTATTTGTCATAATGGCATTATGCGTGCCATGTGTATTCTAGGCAGTCCTACCGAAAGCTGAGTGTTTTACATGATGGATTCAAGTTAAAGTCATTTAGACTTCATAATGCTGGTTATATGAACACAATGCAATTTGCATGCAAATGTGGCCAGTCACAAGCAGAAAGTCATATAAAAGATATTTGTGCTTCATGTTCAAGGCAGTATTATTCACAAGAATCAAGAAATATGCCCATCAAATTAAGCATGCAGAGATAAAATGAGGTACATAAACACAACAGAAGGATAAGTAGTTATAAACAAAATAAAATCATTCATAAAAGACAATATGTATGGAACTGGAAAATATTGTAAGTAAGGCAAGTATACACAGATACTATGTGATTGAATTCATATGTTGACTCAAAACAGTGAGGTCATGGACACTGGAAAAATCACGATGGTTTTTAGAGGTATTAGAAAATAGAATGGAGGAAGAATAAGCAAGGCCCATGAATATATCCTAAGAGACAGGTGTATTCTGGTGTGCTCTTCCACAGAAGAGATATTACACAAATTAAGAAAATAGTGCATACTCTAAAAGTCAAAGATTTTAAAAGTTCATAATAAAGATAATTAGAAGTAATTCAGGAACTGATCAAAACCGTATGCAGCAGATACACATATAAAACAGTACACAGTAATATTAATAAGTAAAATTTATTCTTGTGTATCAATAAAATAAAAAAAGAATAAGAGATTAGACAGTCTATAATTAAAATGAAGAAATAAGGTTTAACACCATTGTTAAATATTTGAACAAAATGATTATGAAAACCATTGCTTACTCTATAGATGCTCGTTTTTGTCCAATATTTTTCTTTTTTTTTTTACAAACACAAAAATAAAACACACTATTGAGTCCAAATGTAATATGTATTGCAATTTGAAAGAGCTTACCGCCCTTTTATATAACTATACTTTTACTAAATTAATGATTCTATGCAGTTAAAAGCTGGTCTCTGATCAGGAAGATTCATAAGGCTAATAGACTATAAAGAAAAAGCCACAGGGTTTTATATAACTTGAAATATAATTATCTTCCCTTCTTTCCACAGAAGGAAAATATCAATTTAAAATGATAAAAATCAATTTTTTTAGTCTTGCCAAAGTCTTAATTCTCATGTATTCAGCCAGAAGAATTTACTTTAGGAGTTTTCAAACTCTTACTGCACACAATAAGTGTTTGGGCCCCAGAGACAAGTGAGCTGTGTCTGTCTCAATTTCACAACTTATGCAGTTTAATTTTGGTCCATATATTCACTCCACTTTTCTTCCCTCAGTTCATGAAATAAATATCAAGTAGAAAGTCCCATCTCATATGAGTTATTAGGAAAATTAGATAAGAATTCTTTTTAACAGAGCATCACTTTTGAGATTAGGTCTCAAAATATGTTAATTATTACCACTAAAACCATATTCATAACCATTAACATAACTTAATTTCTTTCTGTTACTTAGGAGTTTTGTGCTAATGTCCCTCACAATAAAGTATACATAATAAAAATATATAAATAGTGCTGTGACTTTCTTTGATGAGTACTTAGGCGAGAAGTAGAAAAATAAATGAGACACAACAAAACAAATGAACAAACACACAAAAATGGAAAAGCAATGCAGTTCTTCCTTGTTCCTCATAGTTAGAGGTAGGTATATCCAGCTACTAATGAACTCTCAGCTCCCTAGTTACTTGTTGGTGTGGAGAAAAATGAAAAAGTATCTTTCTAGAATATGATTTTCTTCCTATTGATAGAGTGAGATGTATACAAAATATTTATTTTTACTATTCTTAAAACAAACTCAACTCCTGTTGGAAGGTCCACTTTCTAATTATGCTAACGGAGACAAAAGAGACAAAGAAGTTTCATAGCTAAGAAACTGCTTCGCGAGACCCTTTTCTATCACAGTAGGAAGACTCTTCAACCTCTTTCCAAATAACTTTGAATCAAAAGCTAAATCCACAGGGATGAATGTGCTTTATAAAGTGTAAGGCCTGGAGTCATCTATTCAGAAGACAGTGCTTACTCTAATCTTTTTTGCTGGCAGATGCTACTGCTTATGTATAAATAAAAGTATAAAGCATTCCACGGAAGAATTATACTGAATAGCAGCTGGCTTGTATTTACCACCTGAATCTCCATCAGAATCCTTCAGGGAAACTGTACTATAACAAGGATGCATGAGCAATAAAGGCTTTCAGGATGTATGTCCTCAAGTAAGGCCATTCCTATGCATGCATAAGCTTTGCCAATCATCCAAAAAGAGGCAAGCTTGAATCATTCTCTTGAATCTTGAGGCTTCCAAAAGATGTGATTTTTCTGTATGCATTGAACAATCTTTTTCTCAATATATATCATAATATATATATCATAATATTGAGAAAAATATATATGCAATATGATCAGTTTCTAGATGTACTTATAGGAATGCTTTGGCTTCCTGAGTATTCTAAGATCCCAAGTTTATTATGAAGTCACTGACTGTGACATTAATTTTAGAGTCTAGCATTTTCCACCTGGCATTTTAAAATATTTTTTTTAAAGAAGGGGAAAAGAATTACGCCATGCTATAATGCACTGAATAATTACCTGAGGGAAACCTCATTTGTCACATGATGTGACGTTTGCTGTGCAACATAGAATTAAACTGTTAGAGGCGGACCTGGAAGCACAGCAGTAAGAGGTTCCTTTACACATTCCACTGTCCTGCTCAGGACTTGGTGAGGGACACACTTACCATCAACCCAGTGTTTAAAGTCTAGTGAAACAAGTCCCTGTGTGTGTTTTGCTTCCATCCTCATTGCATTAAATGCCCAGAACAGCATAATGGGACCCTGGCTTCATGGGCTTGGCAGGTGGGCATTTCTAGCACTCACTGCACAGATTGATTTCACTTAAGGGCGAGAATAGGCTTAGCTCTTAAGAAGTAATTGGCTTAGCTTTTTACAGAATCATAATTACTTCAACTAGCTTTAGAAGTTAAATTTCTCAAAGTATCTGAAATAGAAAATGCAATTCCAAGCTCAGTGAGCTTGAAGAAGGATCTTGAGCGGAGCAGACAGCACAAACAATCAGATTCCAGAAGCTCCAAATTGGATCTCATTAGATACAGAAGACAGAGAAATAGGAGTTTTCCTTATAGGAGAAAATATGTTTTTAAATTGATAGCCTCAAAAGACACTACCATTTATAACTCCCTAAACAAAGCACGATTTGGCGAAGGCGGACGCGAATCTCTATTTACATCCCAGCTAGAATGCTGAAGCTAAATCCATTATTTCAGTTAAAATCCTGGAATGGCGTTCTGACTAGACTACTTGCACAATTCTGAAACATTGGGTGATTCGGATCCGGTTTTAGTCTGCAATAATTGGTTTCAATAGCTCTGTTTAGACAGTTGCTTGTAGACTCAGTATGGCATGTATGGAATTTATATAGACAGTTTCTTCTAAATGCAGACTGTTCTTTTGTTTTCAGGCAGCCCAGATGCGAATAATCACACAGAAACCATGTTAATTACAACACTGTTTGGCCAATGGTTCAGGCTTCTTATTAACCAACCCTTATATGGTAAATTAGCCCATTTCCATTCATCTGTGTATCGCCACTTGGCTGTGGCTTCCCTAAGGTTTTGTCTGGCGTCTTTCTCCTTTAGGAGCTACTCGGTGTCTCCCTATTTCTGCCTACTATCTGTATATATTTCTGTTCACATTTCCCGCCTAGAATTATTCTGTCCTGCCATAGGCTGAATTAATTTATTAATCAATGGTAATAAAACAGCATACAGAAGGGGAAACACACATCAGTTTCTTACCATGGCTCAACTGAAAGCTAAAACTTCTTATTATAAGTATACAGAGAGCCACAGTTCAGCACTGAGCTGTACTCCTGGAGTCCAGTCATAGAGAGGGAGGCGTGATATTATGAGCAAACGGCCCAAGACTAAGATGGGGATACCCACAGAAATAGCTAAATTGAGCTAGTAGGAGTTCATTGAACCCAGAATGACAGCTGGGGTGCCAAGATAAAGTCCGAACGAACTAGACCCTATGAATGTGGTTGTGAGACACGGTCACTTTGTGGCGCCACTAGCAGTGGAACCAGTATTTATCTCTAGTGCATGAACTGGATCTTTGGAGCCCATCTCCTGTGGAGGGATACCTTGCTCACCTAGATATAAGCAGGGAGAACCTTGGTCCTGCTTCAAGTAATACGACAGACTTTGTTGACTCCTCATGGGAGGCCCCACCCTTTCTGAGGAATGGGTGGGGGTGTGGTTTTTAGAAGACTGGGGGAGTGGACAGGAGAGAAGGGGAGCTGGGATTGTTATGTAAAATAAGATGGTTTTAAAAATAAAAAAGAAAAAACAATAAAATAAGTGTACAGAGCTGTTCTGCCTTATAATGGGTTCAGCAAGGGATTGGGCACTGGAAGGTTTTCATTAGCATGGGTATGTGACTTTTCCATGTCTTTATGATGTAATGGACTGCACATTTGATTTAAGGCTCTGTTGCCACAGTCTCAAATTTCTTCATGCCTTTTGTCTCTTGTTTGTTCTACCAGATATGATAATGCTCTTGTTCTTTCAGGCATTTCCCCAACATCACTTTGATTTAGACTTCTTGCCTTCTGAGTGCAGGGATTATAAGCACCATAAGAACCCATAACGATTTCCAACAGTTCACTAAAGAATGACAAGGGCATCCACAATGATAGAATCCTTTCTGGAAGCAATATCTGGGGCAGTTTTAGAAATGTATTGTTCTCAGATTTTAACTTGCCATTTTCTAATTGGATAAACTATTGATTTTTTTAAAGCATGTATAGAATTAAGTGTTAGATCTAGAAGTCAAATAATCAATTTGATTCCCAGTTTACTGCTTCTAGCATTCTGAATTTTTAAAATTATAAAACTCTCCAAGGACCATGATCTGCAATAAGATGAGGTTGATAAAAAAATTAGCAAGAGAAATTCTAACTTAAAAATTTTAAGAACAATCCATGCCTCTACCCTGATTTGCTGTGGGCATGTGAGCTTGCTGCTAATTTTAGTTCTGCTATACTTCATTGCATGAGTGTAGGGGAAAAAATGTTGAAGGATTAGTCCTTGACTTTATAACATGAATGAGAGAACCATCCAACACTGAATTTTGCTTGGCAAGAAAATGCAGTGACCGATATCTTATCTCTAACTTGCTTTTTTCTCTACCTGGACACATCTGGGAATGCTGTGAATTCAATGCAGGACTGCTCCCTCTCAAGACAAATTATTAGAGGAAGTTAGTAAAAAGGCCTCATCACAGCAACATGAAATGATGCCCATCTCAATTGACCAGCTATTCTTAAATATAAGAGAAGTGAATAAAAAATACAAATAAGTAAATTAGGGAACACAACATGTCTGAAAGAGAATCTGACAAAGATCACCCAGGAAATAAGAAACACCAAAGCTCAGAAAGAAAAATTAATAGTCTCAAAAAGAGATTAGACTAAACAGAAGAAAAAAAAATAGCAGAGCTTGAAAACACAACATTTGAATTATTAGAGTCTGATAGAAATAAGAAAAGAAATTCAGAAAGCATTAAGAGAAAATGCAAGAACTGTAGGGTGTTCTTAAATGAGTGAATATTATCCTTCTTGACTTACCTGAAGGAGAAGAACTACAAAGGAAATTTAGACAATTAGACAATTAACACTCAAACAATGTCAAAATTTTTGAGAGAGAAAACATTTTACTATAGGTGCCATACGCTTAACTATTCCTCAGTTTAGAAATAAAGAAATTACTGAAACAATTTGACATTTGAAAAAAAGTATTAAAAAACAGTAAAACTTAATTTGAATAGAGAGAATATTTCAACATAAACATACAAATATTTTGAAATGCAGGAATCAAGACATTCAAAAAACAGAAATATTCATTAACTCTAACTCCTTACTGATCTCAGAAGCTATAACAGTAAGATTGTGCCATTGAGACAGTTCACGATCCAGGGGCTTTGAAGTATAGAGCGATCCATTTCCAGAATGAATGTTAAAAATTCTGTCAAGGTCAGTATGGCGATCCAAAGTGAATCTAGAAATAGATGGTACAGAAAATACAGGGCCATAATATTGATGGTTTTCATGAGCAAATCATAAAATACAAAGATAAACACTTTACTCATAATCATTGGAAACCACAGAGCTAATGTGAAATATAAACTATTTCACCTGTTAAAAACAATGCGTAGGGATCACTCAAGGCTTGAACTGGCATTTTGTTTTGCTTAGATAAACAATTTCTGCAAATGTTCATTATTTTAACCATTTAAACTATTGCTGGTTGCCATAAAGTCGACTAATTTGCATGTATTTGGTACACAGAATAGGGTTATCAGATGTAGTTTCATTATCTACTGATTGTACTCAGTTCCCAAGTCTTATGATGATGAATCACTGCCATCGTCTATCATAAAATGTCAATGTGGGAAACTTAATTTTGTTATTAATGAGAATATTGAAGACAAGATAACTTTCATCAAAGCAGTACATCATCAGCTTGTGGTAATTTGTAACTTTATATGTAATATCCACCAAGCCTCAGGTTCTTTATTCACATGAATTATTATTAAATAAATGCCTTAAAATTGCTGCAGTTCAGTATAAGAAGTGCTTATGCACCTATAAAGAAGAAAGTCATTACAAATAAATGAAAAATGCTTTGCTACAAACCGATAGCAGGCATCATGTCGTAGGTCATTTCAAAGCATAATCCCAGCATTTGTCACACAAGGCAGCATAATCAAGGTAAACATCAATACATTTGTCAAACCACATGTTTTGCCATAATCAAATAAAGCAAATCTCTATTTTCCTGCATCTAGAATAATTTCCAATTAAAAAAATTGTTCACTAGCCAGGGCTTGCACATACCATTAATCCCAGAACTCGGGAGGCAGAAGCATGTAGATCTATGTGAGTTTGAGGACAGCCTGGTCTACAGAACTCTTGCTAAGATAACAAATGCTACACACACACACACACACACACACACACACACACACACACACACACACACAATGTCTCATGGTCCAAGGAAAGAGAAATCGTTAAGATCTCTTGAGTAAACTTGGAGGGAGTGTAGAAGGAAGCGGATGGGAATAGGAACATGAGTTATCCAAATGGCAGAGTTGGTGAAGAAACAGAAAAAGGGAGAATAAAAGAGTTACCTTGATAGAGCCAGTCACTATTGGAGTAGGGAGAAACCTGGTGTTAAGGAAATTCCCAGGAATTCTCAAGGATGACCCCAGATAAGATCTCTAGCATTAGTGGAGAGGCTGCCTGAACTGGCCTGCCCCTCTAATCAGATTAGTGACTTCTCTAAACGTCTCCATAGAACCACCATTCAGTAACTGATGGAAGCAGATGTAATGATCCACAGCCAAGCACTGGGCTGAGTTCTTGGAGTATAGTTCAAGGGGGGAGGAGGGGGATCATATGAGCAAGTGAGGTTAAGATCATGATGCTGAAAATCACAGACAGCAACCTGAGCTGGTGGGAGCTCATGGACTCTGGAATGACAGATGGGGGACCTGCATTGGACTGAACTAGGCCCTCTGAACATGGGTGACAGATGTATGGCTAGTGGAACCAAGACTCATCCAGGGTTCATAAACTGACTTTTTGGAATCCATTCCCTATGGGGGAATGCCTTGATGGAGGAAGTAGGGGCCTGGTCATAACTCAATTGGTATGCCAGACTTTGTTGTTGCTCCAAGGGAGGCCTTACTCCCTCTAAGGAGTGGATGGGGATAGTATGGAGTGGAGATGGGGCGTAGGAGAAAGGGAGGAGGAACTGTGTTACTTTATGAAATGAAAATGAATAAATAAATAAAAATTTGAAAACAAAATAAAGCAAAAATATACAATGAGCCAAAACAAACAAACAAAAAATTACTGAGAGGAAAACCTAAGGGAAATTTTATGTTAAATAGTTTTCCATGATTATCCATGGTGAAGCTGTCTTCATCCTTCTAATTTAAATCTTGCTGTATTAATCCTCTCCACTTAAGACATTGTCTATCAAGTTGTTTCATCACAAATTTCAAACAAGAAATAAGACATGAAATTATGAAGCCTTTTGCTAGTCTTGGTCTATCCAGCAGCAGACTCTAGCTGAGACTCATTGAATACTATTTGATTCTCATGAGCAAGCTTCTCTGAGTGGAAAATGTATCAAAACATGAGAACAATCTGCCAATAATTGTCAAATCAAAGAAAATACAGGACTAATAGGTTAGAAAACTGGGAGGTCCCTTACATGTAAAAACCCTTCAGTTTCAATGTGTTGCTTCCTACATAAAATACACCCAGAATAGTGCATCACTGTCTGCTCTCTGTCTTATGTGTGTTCTATCTTGTGCACGCTACTAAATTTGAAAGTAAACAGAAGAATGTGGGAGATTATTTGGCGGTACCTTGTAGGCAGAGATCAGGCTTCTACATTACACTTAGTATTTATGTTAATATATTTTGCATGTGTGCACGTACCACAGTACATATTTGGAGATCAGAAGACAACTGATGACCTTTGAATATCTTTGGACCCAGAAGAGCAATTTTAAGACTTGAGCTCTTGTCATCAGACTGTCAGGTAGAGCTCCTTCCCACCCTGGGTCATCTCGCCAGCCAAGATCTTCCTTTCAAGCATAATTTATAGTCTGACTGTATTCCTATGTGTTTGCTGGTAAATTTCATGGTACCTTTCATTTTCTTTCTTAAAACTATTTCCAGAATATGCTTAAACAATTCTTATTTATGCATAAATAATTCATAATAAGTGACTACATTTATAACACATATAATTTTAATTTCAACAAAAGTATTAAGCTGTCAACTATATTGAGTTTGTCTATAATATTTCCTTGATATAGCTAGAGATTAATTCTGTTGATACAAAATTTCTCAGAAGCTGAATCCTTAATATAAGGTGATAATAGCATTCAAACAACCATAGAAACATATATTAAGTTTTGCATCACCTATACATATCTGACTCCCAATGATGTTGGGATTAATGAGTCCTGGCTTTCAGCTGCTCTTCCCTCCTAGAACCTTCTAATTAAAGTTACTAGAAGCTGTGCCTAGCTTAGAGGATCAGAGGATGGGATTTTCACCTGTTGGCCATTGACTCCAGTGTATTTAAGCCTACATGGTGCTAATAAAGAGGGGATTTTTGGTATCAGTGTTTAAAGGTCTGTGTGTCAGTTTGCCTCTGTGTCTGTGTTCTCAACCTCCAGCCCCTTGCCCGAAGCTCACGAACTGGGGTCTAGCGCATAGAGTGCAGACCGGGGCCGCAATTCGCGGCACAATATAATCTAAAGTCATGGTGATATGCATAGAAAAATATTTATTTTCTCAGTATAACCACAATATCTTTTTCCAACTATTGTCTACTTCTATACCTTACATCACCTCTACATGTCTTACAATTCCTAATATAATGTCAATATATGGGATATACATAAAAAGCCTGTGCATGTCAGTAAAAGAAGATTTTTTTATTCTGAATATTTTCTTTTTCTGCCAAGATAATAATGAATCCATGGATATGGAAAGCATAACCCATAATATTTAAATGTGTGTTTTTTCACAAATATATTTATATTTATATAATATATATGTGTGTGTTCTATTTAAACCATAACATTTAAAACTATCTGCATTTCCTATATCTAATGTAGAACAAAGTGAAAATATACCACAAACACCAGCACTAAACTTGCCATATAGAGCACTGTAGCTGGTAGAGTAGTTTGACCAGGCTGGCCTCGAAAGAGATCCGCCTGCCTCTGCCTCCCGAGTGCTGGGATTAAAGGCGTGCGCCGCCACCGCCCGGCTGACCATGGGAACTTTTGAATCTCAACTGAAGACGTATAGCATATTGCATTATGATATACATATAAGCTTTTGGTCGAAAGAAAATGGCCCCCAAAAAGAGTGGCAGTATTAAGACATATGACCTTTTTGGAGTAGGCATGACATTGTTGGAGAAAGTGTGTCACTGTAGATACAGACTTTGACGTTTCATATATGCTAGAGCCAGCTCAGCGAGACAGTTCACTTCCTGTTGCCTGCATATCAAGATGTAGAACTCGCATCTACCTCTCAAACACCATAACTTCCTGTTCCATGTCATGTCCCAAAATAACCATAATGGACTACATCAATGAATTGTAAGTGACACCACCACTTAATGTCTCTTCACAGAAATACAAACCCTAACACAGATAGCTGGTACTTAAGACATGAAAATGTACTTATTCTCTCAGTACTTAGGAAAACACCATCATTAAACATTTTAATTTATTGGGACATGTCCAGAGATAGATTTGATATAATAATGTCCAGTCTGTATGAAGACACAAATTAATTTTATATTCTTGAGAAATATTTTGTGATTATATCAATACCAATTGACTGGTATTTATCCCTCCTAAGCAGTGTATGTGTTTTGGGCATGTAATCTATTTGGGCAAGATTCTTGCATATCATGTACAAGGCTCTGGGATTGACCCCAGAAGTGCATAGTGTGGGCATAGTGGTATAGGTTTGAAATCCCAGAACTTGGGAGGTAAAGTTAGAAAGATAAGAAATTCAAAGTCATCACTGGCTACATTGTACAGTTGTGATTAATATGTATTGCAAGAATCTGTTTTAAAACAGACAAAGCAAACACATCATATTCTAAAATCTGTTTCTAAAACAGAAACCAGAACATAGCCTACTTAGGTTGGTTCTTAGGCAAGAAAATATTAAGTACTTAATGGGGAAAATTAAATGACCATATTAGTTACTTTAAGAAAATTCAAAGAAAGAAAAATGCATAAAATGTAGCAATTTTAATAAAGCAACAAGAAAAGAGCCATTTATGGCAAATTTCATCTGGCATATGGGAGCACTTGTGTGATTATGATGCACAATTTTTTTTTCTTCTGCCAGTATATAACTTGTGGTAGAATGCATGAATATAAGACAATGTATTTGCATAAAATACATGAATAAGCGACATTCAAAGATATATCACTTTGTGACTAGTACAATTTTTTAAGACTAGTAAAATCTGCAGAATTGTTCACTTGAATCCACTCAGAATCGCATGGAATATAAAACCTAAGGTTCTATATATCTTAAAGCTGAAAAGTTCAAAAGACTTCACTCAGAAACTGCAAAACAAATACTGCAACTCATATTTAACTGTGTCACACAGATGCAAACGCAGCTTACAAAGTTTTGGCAAAGGAATAAAATCCAAAACCCACAATAGACTAACAAATTAAAGGAAATGTTCGTTTTGATGCTTAACAATGTAAAAAGAAATTTATTATTTCTATAATACACCAGTTCAAATGCTAGTGAAAACTTTGAATCTTGCTTATTTTTATATATGTATCAGACCTCACGTGCCTTTAAATTTGCTTAGAAAGGGGCTGGAGAGATGGCTCAGCAGTTGAAAGCTAGGCTCACAACCAAAACTGCATAGGAAGAAAAGTTAAAAAAAAATGTACCGAAAAGATTCTCATGTGTCTAGATATTCAAACCTTTTTTGAAACAGCTAATTAAAAGAAAATAAAACATACACAATCATGAAACAAATTTGAAACGACAATCTTCCCATTTCTGATAGATTGATCATGCCTATCCAAAGCATCCAACTATATATTTTTGATCTATATCAATGATCAGAATAACCAATGTTTTAATGAATCAAACTCATGACATAGTCCATTAACATAATGGAAAAGGCAAGCACTAGAAAATCATGAAGGTGGTGTATGCTTTGCCCACAACATTTTGTCAAAATACCTCTTAAATTCTGGGCACACCAAATTTATGTAGAATTTGCATAAAAACTCTTGCAATCAAGCAGAATTTCATGATCCCAATATGCCTTCAACTCTGCTCCTTTTCATCTTTAACAGTGACAGAAGTACCTGATGGAACTGGAAGTAGAATCGGGGTCTCTTGCCATGACAGTGCCAATGATTGTGCCCACTTCAATGTCCTCATGAACTTCAAACAGATAAGAGGATCGGCTGAAAACAGGGGGCTCATCCACATCTTCTACGGAAATTTTCACCATTGTCGTATCTTTGAATGGCCCTAGATAATAAAAGCGAGGATCCACATGGGTATTTTCTGCCTCGACCTTCAGAGTGTAAAGTCTCCGGCTCTCATAGTCCAGTGGCTGGATAAGACAAAAATTATCAAGTTAAACTCTAGGGAGTGGGAGTCTGCCCTCCTTAGTTTACACTAGGATTTGAAATCCTGCATATTGTAAATTAACAAGAAGTAATAAAAATTAGACACTTTTTAAAATTTTCTATTTCCCACCAGTATTTATGATTACAGGTGTCCAATATATCGGGCTTTTGAACATATGAAAAATTTTAATTATTATACAAATGTGAATGAATATTTAATTTAATCTCATAAGGCTGATAATTCCATACAAACCATGGGTTGACATGCTAATGCTATGCACTTCTGTGTGTATATTTACTTGATGATATAAAGGTTAGGACTCAACATTTTAAGACAAAAGATCTATAATTTTAAACATTTGAGGTTTTAAATCTGTGTCCAAATATATTCATCAGTGTAAAGGGTCCAGGAAACTAGGAAGTCTTTGTAGAATTTCAAACATCAGCAGTTATAAGAAATACTCAAGATAATCAATGCATTGTTTAGTGAGAAAAAAACATATAGTAATTTCATTAGTAAGATGTATTAAAAATAAAGATGAACTTTACTCTTGATATAATTTAGACATCACGATTAAAATAGAATGGGATAAAAAATCATTGCTTTCTCAAATTTGCTCATCATTTTTTTTCTTGTTTTCAGAGAAGCAAAAGATTTTTTTCCATTACTGCTACTTTCTGGTTTTTAGCATTACTAGTCACTGGAAGTGACAGTTTGTTGTGTGTCCTGCGCTTCAATAGCATCTCAGGAAAACTCTATTAGTTACCAGTACCTCAACGGTTACTCTTTATGCAGCCTATCAGTTTGACCTAAATAAAAATGTGCCTGATTTTTCTTACAATGATAGAGCTAACTACATTAAAACCTGGCTACCTTTAAGTTCTTTCACTGAGCATATGTTGGAAGAAAAATTTAATTTATATTGCAGAAGGGAAAATGTGAACAATTAAATTATGTTCCAATCCATTCTGTCTCTTTTTACTAGCAACTCTAATTATTGACTCATACATCTGGATAGCATGTTATTTTTATGCCTCCAACTGTGATGATATCTTGCCATTATTAGTTATTAACTGCTCTTTAAGAAAGCATTGCTTTTACAGGGGCTTTTAATAATATGACTAAGAAATATAATTACACATGTATTAACTTGACTGTTCAAATTTTTGTTCAAGCCTCAGGTTTCATGTTTCAAATAAGAAGAACATATTGTCAGAATGTCTAAAAGGCTTTCTGGCATCAGAGTCTTCTTATTTATTGTAATGCAAAACTCAACTGAGCATACCAATGCTTTTTCTTTTGGTAGCTAATGCAAGAGCAAACAGTACACAATGAAATCTCTGCTTGCTAAACACAAAGATGCTTGTTTATGTTGAAGCTGAACACCTTTTTCACAGTAATGATGCCTTCCTGTGTGTCCTTCTCAGTTATAATGTCAAACATATCTGTCCCATCTCCATCAATAATGCGGTAGTCTACTTCAGCATTTTTTCCCATGTCAGCATCGGTTGCTTTTACGCTTCCAACAGCTGTTCCAACTGGAGAGGATTCAAGAACTCGAAGATGGATGGTATCTGTACAGAAAAAAATATATAAATGCTAATATAATATACATATTTATATACATCATTTCTTTCTCTTGTATACATATAAATACATAAACATATAAGAGAAATAAGTGATTAAGTAGAGAATATTCAAAAGAAGAGTCTCTGCAAAAGAATATCATACAACATATAATCTATGTTAGCTGTTGTTGAATTAATATTTTGAATATATTTATTAAAAATTGGGAGTAAATGTGGAATTTCAAGGGTGCTTTCCCAGATATAGCAATCAGTATAGTGTCAGCGGTTAATTCTGATTTTGAAAATTAGCGTATTTCATTTGAATAGATGTCATCTGAGTGCATAAAGGCACCTGAATCCCTGCATGTGTTTACATAATCACAACAAGTCACCTGAAACACAGTGAATATTTGTACTCAACATTTTCCATGCTATGTGCAGTTATTTGCATCTCTTACTTTAGCTGCAGATCAAAACAGCTCAGAAATCCACAGAATCAGTCACGATGTATAAAGAATCTCATCTCTATTTGTGACAACTAAAACAAAGACTGGTCTGTGTTGGAAATAAAAAGATGTCCTTCACAGTGTCAGAGTACAAACATTAAATTCTGACAATGCCTCTTTCACTCTGGAGCAAAACACATATACAACTAAGCCCTTGGTATACCTGTATGTGATTCCAGCACGAACCACCCCTACCACTAATGAAACTTAAATTTTAACACCTGGTCATAAACTACAATTTCTGAAGTGTTAATTGACCGTAAGCACGCTTCTGATTATAGCTCCATGTGCCCATAAAGCTTAATTCTCTGTATTAGACATCATAAGGTCCTGACCTGTTAAGTTGTCCTGGTATTACATTCATATTTCTTTCTTAATATCTTTTACCTCTAGTCTCTTCCATGAAAGATTGGCAATAAATAAGACCTTCAGTATTTTTCTGACTAAAGAATTTTCTATGTCCTTCACTGTACTTTTATCACGTTAGGTCTTTATCATGAATTATTTCCTCATTATCCCCATATATTATCATAGAGTTCTCCAAATACAAGATTCCTTGATGTGTGCTCATTCAGGGGCCATGTAACAGCATAAAGGGGGTCTCTCAGTACGAGTGTCTTTCTTACAAATGGCATTGGAGCTCAGCCTGGTCTCCTCCTATGATTTTAAACATATTCTTTTCTGTTCTTGAGGTCTTGCAAAGTTGACAGTGAAACTCCACTACTGACTTGGTTACTCTCATGCAGATGGTCTTTGCTCCAAGTCTTCCTTTTCCACGGAACCCCTGAATCCTGAGCAGCACAGTGGCTCAGTTAATCACTTCCTTCAGGTTCCCGCTCAAATGTGAGCATGTGAGCTTGATATAAAGTAAACTAGATGAAAACAACATGACCAACACCTAAGCTTTCTGGCACGCTTCCTAATCCCATTCCATTCCTAAGATTTTAATTTGTGTGTGTAGCATCAAAGAATACAATGAAATAAGTTTTTGGTACTTCTTCTATCTTGTATTTCCAGTTGTTTCTTTTCTTCTACTATAGTCAAGTACATAGATTTCTTTGTAGTAGGGTATAGTAGTTGCATATTGGATAGAATCTTTAGAATGAATTTACTGAGTTGTATGCTTTCCTAAATTGTATCACTAGTTAAAATATCTCCAACCACAATGCAATCCACATTACACACTTGATGACTACTTTGAGATGGCACTTTAGTTAAAGCATGTACTGTCCAGCCTATAGATCAATATAGGAAAAGGCAGGATCTTAATATTGAAGACCTGCTCCCACATGCTTCTGTCTCCCCATTGTAAGTACACACACATGCTTACCACACACTTACACGAGAGTAGATGATCACCAATACATTCTTGAAGCATTAAAATAGAAAATTAGGTTCTTTATGCCTTGTATAAGGCAACAAATCTGAGGACCAAAAACACAAAGCAAAGCACCAAAACAACCATCAGAAGAAAACTCCAAAAGGCTTATAACGGATGCACTAACGGAAGCTAAACACACTATGTAGAGAGAAAATAGGACTACAGAGGAGAAAAATGTATTACTTTACGCATTTATGAACAGGGAAAGATGGAATGAGTGACTTGAGTATTAAATGTAAAATGATGCTATAATAAAATAACCTAGCACTCAAAGAAATGAGTTAAAATAAAAACAAAGAATAGTGGAGTTTTAAACAAATCCACAAGAGAAACAATAAAAATACCAAACTCATTTTGAAAGACTTCTCCAATAAAGCCGATATTTTGCGATTACGATCTGACCTGCCTTCGCTAACTTTTCTGTTATTTTGAAAAGAGCATTTTCCATTTTTTCATCGTGAAAGCATACTTGTTAAATATGAATAGTTTTGTGTTTTCCCTCTGCACAGTGTTTACCTGCATTGCATGAAATCAGGTTGTCTTGTGACTGAGATTACTGATGATCACTACATTCCTGTGCCCCTGCCATTTTTCACTAATGTTAAATTAGTATATATTTATTTATAATTGATGCAAATGATGGCTCTCTTACAGAAAATGCCTTGAGTTTGTACAAATATGTTTCATCAAAAATCTTCACCCTAATTTTTTGCATCAATCAGTAATATAGCCAGCAAAATACATACTGGGAACTAATGATGGTGATCTTGATTTTCTATAGTGTCATAATTATTATGTAGAATTCTCTAAAGGGAAGCTTTTTTTCACCCCATTCATTTTTAATCATTTTTAATTATGGAGATGATTAGTGACCAGTGAAGCCTCAAAAACCCTGATTATTTTTTAAAGTCTGCTTTTTCCCACGCTAGAATAACTTCATTTCCTCCTGTAACTATTCCATATTTGACATTGGTAATCTAGCCACTTGCCTTCAGTGACTATGAATTTTCCTTCCTCATATTTTCCCCATCATTACTTAAATCTAAGGAACACGATGTTCTAGATTCTTCTTATAACTTTCCAGTCTAAGATATAAAATCAACTAGGTATTCACATAATTTTAGTTAACCAAAAATATACTTCTAAAAAATTTGATCAAGTATGGTGTTCTAGAATCACAGACTATTAAATCCTTGAGTCATATAATATGTGAATATGTTAAGGACAAAAGGAAGATAATTATTTATACTTGAATTAAGAATCTAATACCCCTAAACAACACTTTAATACAACTTTAAAAGTGTAATTTCACTAGAAGTCAGTTAATATCTTTCAGCACATTATCTGATCTTTCAAAAAAGCAACATATATATCCTTGAGAAAAGACTTTTCAGTGCAATGGGTAGTAATGTACTATTTAATAATAGAATTTAAAAAGACCATGCAATACAAGGACAAGTTAGAACTACTTTAGCAAAGAGCATTGTTACATTCATACTGATAATATGCCTTGATTTCTAGGCTTCAGTGTAACAGTTGCACATTGTCTCTGAATGTTATTGCTGAAAAGGGTGTAGAATTCCGTTCCCTGACATTAACCTGCAACTGGTTGACTTCCCTGATATTGCTTACTAATGCTGGCATTTCTCCACTTATACTCTGAACATAGTCTTGATGAAATTTTATGATTTTTAAATCTGAGGAATTAAAAGGAAAATAAGGCAAGTATTTATCCATGGAATAATTAAGTGAGATAGCATTGAGTAACTCGATTATAGACGAAAACAACAACAACGAAAAGCTAATCAATTTGTTGCTGGAGGCTACACAATTAGATAAAAGTTAAGAAAAATAAAAAGCTTCCATCAATAAATTTTATATTAAATTAAATCAGGATTTGTTTCTTACAATGTTAGCTTGTTAATTTAGTCTGATCTAATACTAAAAATACGTTAAACACTTTAAATTATACAAAGATACATATATACATATATGTGAGAGCATATATACACATATATATCTATACACAGAGGTAATGTATGGTGGTAAAATAATAAGTCATCATACTGCAGGAAAATAAAGATCACAAGAAGTCGACAATTATATTACTTTTGCCTGTGAATACTTCTCATTCTACAATAAATTTATCCTAATTTGGATTGATTCATGAAGCTATAAAGATGGTGACCAATTCCGTGAAACTCACCAGACAGTTACTCAGCTAGCAGATGGATATGAACTAGGACTACCTGGATGTCTTGGCTCACACCTATAAATGCAGCACTTGAGAGACTGGGGTTAGGGAACTGCTGTTGAGTTCAAGGCCAAATAAGATAGGGTAAAATGGAAATTACTGAGAAAGTTACTAAGTCATCCCTCTCTCAAAAATTTCTAAGTAAGAGGCAATGCAAGGAAAATAAAGTATGTTGTCCCTGATGAGATGATAGTTTAGTGTCTATATTAGTAAATATATGTCTAAAGGCCTATAGAACAATAAAACCTAGATGGCTGAGTGGAAGCCTTAGGTTGGATTAGAAAACCATTTACAGATGCATACACCAGAAAAATAAAAAGTGTGCCAAGGCAGAAAGAGAAAGAATGTAAGTTAAAGGCAAGATGTGAAATTTTTTTATACCTATTGAACTTATAAATATGAAGGCTAATAAAACCAATATAAAGAACATTTGTACAATAGAAATTCATGTATGGCCTAGCAGAAGGTAACCTATGAACATTGATTTGGGATGTACATGATTCTGGAGGCTTTAATAAAATGAACCCAGCTTTGTCAGCTGATTGTGTAGACATCACCTGAGTACTATAAGGGCTATTTATTATCAGAACCCTAGAAATAGGGACCACAGCTGTAATGATCCTATATAATTAAAATTTGATTAAGTTCTCGTATTTTAAAGAAGGTCACAGTTTGATAATCTGGGGAGTAATAGCTTGTATTCAGCTCACAAAAGGGATAAAATGAGAATATATGTTTTGAAATTAAATACTGTATAATTAGGAAACATTGGTATTTACAAAGATGCAAATGTAGAAACAAAACATAGAATTATTTTTTAAAAGAATAGTAATAGCAACATCAACAATAACAACAACAACAACAA